GGCTAGAGCTTGCTTGATGTTATATATTCAAAAATATTGCCTGTATATATGACTCATATGTATGTAAATAGTAGCTAAGGGAAAATACCTTTCGAAATTGATTATGAAAGATATTTTAGAGTTGCCTTGTTTAAATGTTCTTTTCTGCTAATGCATCTGAAAGAAGTCTTTTTTTTTCTACATATAGAAATTGATGTTACATACTTCCCAATGAGAAGGTTTAAAATAAAACAACAAATGATTTTGGTTGCATTTTTTTCTCTCTCTCTCTTTTCATTTTTGTTATGTGATATGTTATGTTCTGTTTTAAGATGTTTCAACCTAATTATACTTTTTCAGACTAAGGCAACATGGAGTCCAAGAGTAAAAGTTCAAAGAAACGCCGGCATGAAAGGACAGAATTCATTGAGGAGGAAGAGGAAGGATTCTCTTCCGAGGTTTCAGCCACGGGAACCAAGAGGAGAAAGAAGTCAAAGGAGGGAACCAGACATAAAAGTTCCAGTACAAAATTAACTAATACAGCTGTGAATGCCACAACTAGTACGGACCCTAGTTCAGAGGTCCATTGTGATCCGCCTGGTAATGCCTTCAGTTGTGATAAAGTTGGGAGTCTCCAGTCATGCTTGATTACGGCAAGCTGTGATAATGACCAGAATCTTGCTAGTTACGTTAAGAAAACTTACTCATCGGGAATGAAAAATAGAAATACCAAAAAGGAACGATCAAGGACAAGGAGTCTCAGGCACCGATATTCAAATGCTGATCTGGTCATCGACGAGAATGTAAAGGATATTGGTATTGCCGTTGAAAAGGCTGTCGATACTGAATTAGAAGAGAGATTAAGTGTAGTGTCTAGTTTACATAATGAAGGTAGAAATACTCAGAAACAAGGAAGAGAGAGCACAGAAGAAGGAAATGATGCAAGTATAAATGAGGGGGTTATCAGCAATGGGAATTTGACAACACAGGTAATGGCAAAACATGCAGAATTTGGAAACATAGGTTGCCTTAACTCAAACTTTAACGCTACTAGTGAAAATGGGAAAGTGGGAGAAAAGAAAATAGAAAGTGGAAATTCACCAAATTCGTTACCTTATAGTGGAACACAGCCCAATACAGAGCATCAAGGAATAACAGTAGGAAATGTGAATGTATTGGCAACAATATCATCAAACATTCCTGTCTCTCTTGGATCCAGGGTCGTCCACACATCAGCTCAGAATCTTAATACTGGTTTTCAAGTTATGCCAAACTTAGAAGCAAATATTTCATCCACAGAGGCTAGTGTTGCCACAGTTGTAACTCACCCACAGCTATCCTTTACAAATCAAGATGGAAGTGATGAGATGCCTCTAAGTCTAGACTTCGAAAGGTCAGGCAAGAATAATCAGTCATGTTCTACTATAGTATCTCCAATGTCTTCAGCTTCCTTCAATCATGATTCACAAGATAGACCTGATTTCTGTGGCCTTAACAGAAATCTAAAAGTAGAGAAAGGTGTAGATGCACTTAGTACTACTTCAAAATTGAACCTTGATTTCCTTGAACAGGAGAGAAAAACTCTAAGAGAAGGAAGGGGTGTTGTTGAGCAAGAGCTTCATAAAGACACTACTATTCCATTAGTTGACTTAGAGGAAAGTGCATCAGATCCCCTTAAAGAGAAAGAGAACTCTCCTACTCTTCAAAATAATAATACCACCAGTGCTACCAAACAGAAGAAAAGAGAGAATATTCAAGTTCCAACCGGGGGCCAAGGTCAAGTGACAACAAGTTCTCTGCGTGTTGACAACTGGGGAGCCTATTTGTTACAAAGACTGGAAGTTCTTTTCGATCAGGAGCAAGAATGTGATCTCACTCTGAAATTTTCGACAGGAGAAGTGCTCAAGGTAATGTGTGACACTATTCCTTTTTAGTATTTCAGTAACAGAATGCTATAGACTATTTTGCAATATTTTTGAAGGTGTGGGCACACTCATTGCATATACATGTATTGTCTCATTGCACCCTTTGTGTCAATATCTGATTCAAAGATACACATTGGGCTTGATTCATCATTTGTCAGTCTTTGCTGTCACATCAAAAGAATGATGCACAACTCGCATAGGCTTGTGTGGATAGGGAGCGTGGCATTGTCCCATTGCACATTCAGGCCTGTTGGGAATGGGAATTGATTTCCGACGTATAGTGTCATTTTTTTTTTGCAACTTTCCATTTAAGTGAAGACAACAGAAACTCAAAACAACTGGATTCATCTCAATATAGGTTTTGTAGTCCACAAATTCTGGCATTTTAAGTTGACCAACATACTTAATCCACTGTACACCTCCCTACTTGTATAGAGTTTTGTAGCCCACCAGTGCCTTGACTTTTTCCCCCTTTTGCTGACTATATTATAATGAAAAAATATATAGATTCACAGCCAGCTGCACATATGAACTCATTACTGCAGTCGGAAAGAAACTTAGTGACCACTTAACAATATGAAACAGGCAAATGCAACAAGTGGATACAAAAAGCCTGTTGCACCATATCACTGGTTGATGCACAATAATGATATGTGAATATACAGCAAGTGTGTTTGTGCCTTTAGATGTCATACAGAGAATATCCAAGTGTTACATTAGCACAGTCTTGAGTAGGTCTAGAATGCAGAAAGGTCAAGGAGAGATTAAAGATATCTAGAAATTCTGTATTTCCATGCTAACTTTAGTTAGAAATTTTAAGAGTAGGAAGAATCAAGCATAGTGTATATAGATGATTACTTTCATATTTAATTAAAAAATAATGTATTGACGTATGTAAAAAAAACAACAAAAAAACTTTAGGGTAAATATTTAAGGGAAAAAGTTTTCTTAAGATTGGTACTAGTATTTGAAATGGCTTTTTTCCTTCTTTGTCACAAGTAGTAAAATATATATTAGTAAAGTAAGATTTACAAAGTGCAATCATGTCAGAACTTTCTAAATTCTTAAATATGTTGTTATCATATGTTTATCACATAATGATGCTTCATTATACATAATACGCCACCTTCCTTTTCAGGTACATCGTACTATAGTGTCAGCTTGCACTTCTCTTGTATCTGAACCTCACACTGTTGAAAGAGGTGAAGAATTTGCCATGCCGCCTGAACTGAACTATGCCAGTGTAGAACCTGTCATAAGGTAAGATGCTTGTATAAATCAATTTTTTTTCCCTCTTCATATATTAATCTTTTGAATTGTGTGGTTTTACCCTTATCATTGAATATACTTTTTTTTTTCCCCCCCACACAGGTTTATATACAGTGGACGTTTAGATGTCAGGGGATCGCGGAGTGAAATGACTGCTATTTACAATGCAGCTCAGAGGCTTCAAGTGTCTCTGTTAACACGCTTAATGGATCGTCGTTTCCCTTATCTGACACCCTCAAGAAATTCAGCAAACAGGTAATTTCTGAAATTATTTGATTTCTGTTCATATGTTTTCTTTCGTTGTATAAAATCAAAAGCTTGAGCTAAGAGAAATTATACTTGTTTATGCAGAAAGATGGAGGATGATCCTGTTCTTCTACAGAGGAATCTTTAAGCAAAGCAAACAACACAAGAGTAAAATTTAGTATTAGCAATAGAATCATTGAACTTTTTTTTTCAAAATCTGTCTTCTTTCTGTTTTGTTTGATTCTATTGGAAATTATAGGATTGTAAGCTTTGTGTGTCCTTCAGTAGCTTATATGGCATTCATGCAAGATTTGCCTTTTGAAATTGATCAGTGCAATGAGTAAGCCAGTTTTGATATTACAGTGATTGCCAGAATCACCTTACCTCATAATGAAACCTCAAATAGAATATTTTTGATATAAAGTTTGCCATTAATCACCCTGCAAGCCTAATGACTTCACTTACATTTCCAGACTGCCAGTATGGAGGAGAACCCCAGACAGACAATCAAGACACCAGAAGCAGCAGCCATCAAAAGCAACCACCAAAGGAAGCTTACCGAGAGTGCCAACGTCCCCCACCACATCATCGGACAAGCAACACAAGTCCCTGTCAGATGATGAACCACAAGCAAGAACTTCTCCAGATATCCTAGAAATAAGTTCAAAGGAAACTCCTGAAGGTACGAACATTTTTTTTTTTTTTTTTTTTTCGATTAATTGGCACGCTATTTCTTTTTTTCATTCTAATGTTCCCAGTTCTGGCTATCATTCCCATAATTTTTCAGATGGTAGAAAAATATACGGAAATGATGATCAGATATTTGTATATTTGGTAAGGTTTTTCATGGGGAATTCATAATTAGTGCTCAATTTCTCTTTTCAAAACATTCCATACACTTGGTGATGATAGGCCCTTTATGCAAAAGTGCAAAAGGAAAAAAAGCTTTTCTGTGCCATTAGCATATGATGAAGTAATTGGTTGTTAGGTGTCTTGAACAGACTGTTGGATGCATAAAAACATGTACACAGGTGGTTCCAGTCCTTTAGTGAAAATTAATTAGTATTTGCAGTATGACGCAAAGGTGATCCTATAGTCACTGGTCACTTCAGAGGGTCCTAAGGAAAAATTAATATATTCAAGCCACATGCAAGGTTTATATTCATGAAAAATAAGAAAAAATACATGAAAATCATCTAGTGGCAAAAAGTATACTAGTGCTAATAGAATTAAGTGGGCTGTATGCTGTTTTCAGAATGATACAAATGTACCAATGTTATTGTTGAATGTGTAAGATATTAAAGGTTTTCAAAAGAATTTTTTTTCTTCTTTCTCTTTACTTTCTTTTTCTTTTCTTTTTCATTTTCTTTTTCTTTTGTTTGCTTTTGATAATTTCTTAACCCAACATCAATGGGTCAAGAATTCCTTGTCTGGTTGTCCTTCTGGGGAACACAGACAGCCACTTTTGTTTCCTGCCTGGATTCTTATTGTGTGCAGCCAGCCTGGTCATCTTATCTTGAGAAGTTTCAGCACTTGCGTGGGTTGTTTGCTTATGGAAAATGATTGCAACCATTTTTCACTAAAGGTTTATTTTTGGAACCTAATCTTAGTTATATCATTTGTCCTATGAAAGACATTACAAACTTTTATTGTTGCATATACTCTATGCTCCTAGAATTGTGTACCAGTTTATTGTATAGTAGTAGTGTTGTGGAAGGAGGTGTAGAATGCTTCGTGTCATTCAAGTTGGCATATAAAATGTACTTCCTGCAAAAGAAAATGTTCCTAGATAGAGGGCACACCCCTACAAAACAATAGAGATAATGCATCTGCAAACTGCTGGATGGTAGGGAACCTACACCCCCACTTATATCTTAAAACCTCTTAATTCGTGACTAATGCTGTGATGTAGATTGCTGCCTAGATACAGATACAGAAGTAGATACAGAATTGGGGAAAAAAGAAAACTAGTTACCCATCAACTGAAAGAGGCAATAAGAACAAAATTACTTATCTGAACTGGAGATATATGAAGATTCACGCACAAAGCCTCAGGCAATCTCTCCATGTGGACATCACCTTTTCCACCCCTGCCAATGTTGCCCCATGTTAAAGGGAATGGTAGGTTGTGAGGCCCAACATCCAGCAGTGGGGTTCCCTTAGGCTTTACCCCACAGCCTCACACTGGACTGGTGCCTGCCAGGGTGCAGGCAGGGCAAGTAACTCCCTTTCTCATCATGCACCCCTGTAGTTGCCCTCTCAACAGGACCACATCCTGCCTCACTTCCTGGGTGAGAGGTACAGTACCCCTCTTACCAGTATTTCCAATTATGTAGTTTGTTGCCAGTTAGCCCATTTACCCCAGGGGATTGAGAGGCAGAAGTTGGTATGGAACCAGGGTTTGTCCACATTCTTGTGGCCATGACTCAATATTTCTAAGACGTCCTGCTGCTCTGAGATCCCCCACTGGGCCTGCAAGGTGCCCATTTTCTATGGGTGACACTGCAGAGGTCTTGATGATGGACAGGTTATGAACAGGTAGAAGCGGTCATGCAGAGATGCCCCCTTTTTTACATTAGGCTTGCCAATGGTGGCAGCTGTAAGGGAGAAGGCATGCAGGCACTTAACACCTAGACTACCACCAATGCTTCACATCACCCTGAGCATCAAGCACTCACCCACTAATAGTTTTTCTAATAGAGACTCTACCAAGAGAACAGCCATAGATGCTAAATCTTCATGTATAACCATAAAGCTAGTCAAACATTTTATTATATACTGTTGAGACAGAGAGCTTGCCTCTTCTAAAATGGCTTCACAACTAACTGCAAAAAGTTTTTAAAATTCTTGAAAATTAACCTGAAGCCAGCAGGGATGGCATGTACACACATGCCATGCCCACTTTGAGTCTATTTTATTAATTGTTTTTACACATAGATGGCTCCATAAGTACTAAGTCACCAATGAACCAAGTAATCCCTTGGATCCGGGTGACGTAACCCTCACATCACCAAAAAATCTGGGTCAAGGGGCAGGTGACGTGAACATGCCATCACGGGAAAATCTGGTTGTAGGCCGGGTGACACATACCTGCCATCGTGAGCGTATCATCTGAAGACTAGGGTGATGGAAAAGACTTGCCACAAGTGCACAAATCAATTGGGAGGGTTATTTTCATAATTTGGCGATTCTGCATTATTTCCATCGACGTATGAGTGTGGAATGTAATGTCCATGAGCAGTGAATGAAAGAGCGATGGCACCATTTCCATGCTCAGTATTGTAATCCTGGTGCCTTGAACTATGACAAAAGTAGTATTACAGAAAACTGAATATTATGTTAAGAAAAATTAAAATGACACAAATAACATAGTTTTACATAGTTTTATTTTTCTTGTGCTGAGTTATAGACTACCTTGAGAGATGATTGGATTCTGTGCAAAGAAAAAAAAATATTACCATCTGGATAAAGCAAATCAAATGGCAGATATGGATATTGAAAAATGGCCAAAAAGCTAAAAACACTTATGTATAAGAAGAGTAAATAACTTTGCAAATAGAAGGCATAGAGCCTTGTTACTGCACACACCCAGCCTACAAGCAAACACCCGATAGCCACTCACATAAGTCTATTGCCTGGATTTTTGGCGATTTGTTTTTCATGAGGCAACTGGATTCCTTGATTTTCAAAAATATTTTCTGCTCTAATATTGTTGCTAGTAATATCAGTAAATACTATGATAATTACAGTGTCTATAGTAAAAATAAACAGCATTAACCCAATGTGCCGGGAAAAATGAATTAAAAAATGGGGAAAATGCTGTGCTCATTTTCTATATTATTGTAAAATGTCTCTGCACATAGATGGCTCTGCAATTGCTTAACCACAAAGGAGTCAATTAGTGGACCTTGTGACCTTACCTTTGAATTGGTGGAAAAAATGTATTGTTTACTAGTGCTATGAATATCGATGGTGTTATTTTTATTATAAACATTATAATTACTATAATGTTATAAACATTAGTAACAGCAAAATAAGATAACGTAAAATATTTTCGGAAATCAAAGAAAAGGGTAAACGGCGAGAGAGGCAGTACTCGTAATTGGCTCATTGGTGGCTTAGTACAAGTGTAGCCATCTATATGTAAAAACAATCAATCAAGTACTCAAAGTGGGCATGGCACATACGGACACATCATGTCCATCAGCATTGGGTTATTACATACACACACTCAAATGCTTAAACTTAAACACAAACATAGTGTGCTAAATTCACTCTTTAAGTACTTAATTCCTACCCAAAGATTTGAACATGCCAGAAAATGTGCAAAATGTAACACAATGTCAAGATGAATGACTTTTGCATTATTGTTTTGTTTTGATATTTCATTTTTTGTTTTGTTTGCTGTCATTGTAAGGTATGTGATTCTAACTGAGGAAGATACCACTGATCTTTCACACAACAGGAAAGTCCATAAAGGCAGTTTTTGTTCAAGAAAAAAAAAAAAAAAGTTGTACCTTGCAAAAGGCATTTTTTTATTTGCCAGCTTTGGTATGATATTCAAAGGTTAAATATCTGTTGCTTAGATTTTATATTTTGAAGGATGCACAATCTGAACATGCTTGCTTGATACTAGTTTGGACATGTGATTGTCAGATTGGTAAAGTAGGAATGAGCGATGAGTAGAGACCTCCTTTCTTCGACCAGGTGCATGGTTACGTGAACTGTGCTTTGTCTCAGGGACCTTGGTTGATGTATACTGGAGCCTCCATTTAAACAGGCAATATTGTTTATGGGTCAATTTTGATGATTACTTCATGGTACTAGTTAGGTAAATCTAAGGTTTGGAATGTATCTGTGTGTGTGCATATAGATGTGTATGTATGTATGAAGTGTGACAAAGACATACGCACACACACACACACACCCACGCACCCACACACACACACACACACACACACACACACACACACACACACACACACACACACACACACACACACACACACACACACACACACACACACACATACACACACACACACACACACACACACACACACACACACACACACACACACACACACACACACACACACACACACACACACACACACACACACACACACACACCCCTACCTGCCTACCTGCCTACCTACCTGCCTGCCTGCCTGCCTGCCTGCCTGCCTGCCTGCCTGCCTGCCTGCCTGCCTGCCTGCCTACCTGCCTACTTACCTGCCTACCTACCTACCTACCTGCCTGCCTACCTACCTACCTACCTACCTACCTACCTACCTACCTACCTACCTGCCTGCCTGCCTACCTACCTGCCTACCTACCTACCTACCTACCTACCTACCTACCTGCCTACCTACTTGCCTACCTACCTGCCTACCTCCAATTGCTGCTGGAACAAGTCACTTACTGGCTTCAGCTCACACTGCAACCCATGTCAAAAAATGTATTGATATTTTTATATATTTTGTTTTTTTCCATATTTGCTTTTGTATAGGAGGTATGTTCAGTGTCTGTTTTATTGGCATGACAGTATTCTGAAAGCATAACTATTTTATGTTCCCTGTATAAATGACATCCAATGGGGGTAAATGCATTTATGAAATGTTTTGTTAGTTTAAACTTTCATCTATGACACAGGCATAGATAAGTTCACATTAATATACTAATGCCTTTTTGCCAGCCCTCAGTGCATGAGAGCAACAAATGTGGTGACAACCGCCAAACGTACAATATCTTCCTGCCTTTTTACAGATTCAAAAGTATGGCACAAATCTTCTGTTCCTATCTTTAACTTGCCAAACGTAGTGGAAATGAAAACATTATGTAACAAACAGCATGAAGAGCCATAAAGTAACAACAAAGAAGTGTTGTTCCCTTGTTGATCTAAAATTCAGTAGGGAAATGATGGTAGGTGTCACTGGTTGTAGAGAAATATGTATATATATTACAAAAGGGAGAACTTCAAAAGTAAAAAAACGAATAATGATGTAAGTGCTTTAGGTTGTAAGCCGCTCAATCTACTATCCTAAACAGAGTGATGACCCTGCAACCAGTATTCAGAAGTCAGTAGTGGAATTTGTTGTATGAAATATAGGGGTTAAGGAAGTTAGTGACTGAAGCCGTAGCTGCAGTAAGAGGTCAGAAAAGGCAGGAAACATTAATTAGAATGCAGCATTAGGTTTGTCTTTAAGGCTTTGAAAAATTATCATGCTTGCAGAATCTCATTTATATACTATTTAGAAACTCAGTCAGATAAATATTAGAGACAACTTTATTACCATGCATTTTGAGCCTATCCTAGGATTGTTTAGTGTTTTATAAAGATTCATAGCACCACAGATTATATAAAATAAAAATATGAACTGGAACTTCCTTATTCATCTGTTGGCAAATGATTGCCAAGATCTTACAGGGAGATATGTTACCAGATAAATAATCTAGGAAATCTAGTATTCCTTTTAGATATGTTAGCAACAGCAGGTTACCTGTCAACATGTAAACCAAGGCTAGTGATTTTTTAAATTTCACTAAGACAAATTTTGGTATATGGCTTTTGAAGCATT